GGTGAGCCATGATTGTGCTACTGGACTCCGGTCTTTGGCGACAGAGTGAGCCCTCTCCCCCCCAAAAAAGGGCAAAAACCCTTTTTTGAGACTGAGACTTGAGATACTTGAGACTGAGTAAATTATAAAGAACAGAGATTTATTTTCTCACAGTTCTGCAGTCTGGGTAGTCCAAGATCAAGGTGCCAGCAGGTTCACTGAAGGCCTGTTCCTTATAGATGGCATTGTGTCTTAGAGTCCTCAGATGGCAAAAGAGTGAAAGAAAGTGAACACAAGCCCTTTTTCAAGGGATCTAATTCCATCCATGAGGGGTATACCCTCATGATTTAGTCATCTCTGAAAGGTTTCACATCTTAATACTACTGCATTGGTCAATAAACTTGAACACGAGTTTTAGAAGACAGTAAAAACAAAGCAGTGAAATTATAGCAGCAAATAATTTTGACAAGGGTCTTATCGTCTTTAAAAGTTGTTTATTTCTTTTTCATGCAACATCAGTGTTTTAACATGGCCACATAGACTTAAATATTAATGGTTAACTAACAGTTCCAGGTCACATTCTGTGTTTTGGGGGCAATGAATTCCTAGTCCTAAAATTGCTTGTTAGCATAAGACCAGCCAAGAAACAAGCAAGAAATAGAAAATTGTAATACAGTACTTGAGTTTCATTTGCTTTTGTTATTTTTTTCCACCCGGGTTACTTATGAAAAGGGAACAATTTTGGAAATCCATGTTGTTGTGGAATTTAAGCCTCTTAAAATCATCAAGATTCCTGTTTACTTACAAAATAATAAAAACTGATGATTCAGACAATGCCTGGATAGTCTAGGGAACAAACTGGCCAACCATATTACAATTGGGATGATGTCCTCAAATGTAAAAACCATATAGTTATAAACTAAGTTTTTTAGAGATAAAAGCTGAAGCTTTTCAGCAATTACGACCCAAACTTTGCCAATAATTTTTTTCATTAATATTTTGACACTGCATTTAACAAGCAGATATTTTCATTTCAATCAACAAAGGAAATCACTGAAAATTTAACAGACCAAGAACCTATACAAAGTTCTTGTAACTTTATCATCATCCATCAGTCTCTCAAATATTTATGTTACCAAATAAAAGAAAGACACAGTGGACTGTGAACTTCTTCAATGCAAAAACGACGAATGTAACCTTTGTAATTTTTCCAATTCCCAGAATAATAAAACTGCACAGAGGAAACACTCATAAACAAATAAGGGTGATATAAAGTATAACTTCATTTGTAGGTGAAAGGAATCTGAGGTTTCAGTATCTTGCTTACTTCCTTATTATTTTGTGAGAAAGCCACAAGCTAACATAGTCACATTTCTTGAGTCTAATATGTTACAAAATAACAATAATCTACACACTAACATAGTGATATAACACAAGTTGGAGAACTAAACAGCTCTAGTTGTTAAATCTAATGTATTAACAAAATAACATAATGCTATAAAATAACAATTGGTTTTTAAAAATAATTCCAAGTACATGCTTTACTGATGAATTCTTTTTGTTTACTGCATATACAGGTATAGAGGGGTTAGATTAGGTTAACTGAACAAACTTTCGTTTATTAGAATGGCTAAGGAAATAACTTTAATAAAACACAATTTAACTCTAAAAAAATTCATGTAACTTTATCTCTTTCTTTGTCAATTCAAAAGCATTGCAGGATCTTGCAATGAGTATACGATCATGGAAAAACAACGCAATTATGTGTGTTCCAGGGAACTGAAATGCATTAGCTAAATAAATGGGATAGTGATGTAACATGAATATAATTGATCAACTTACAAAAAAACCTAAATATAATCATTAAGAATAACAGTTACTCATTTGTATTGAGTGCCCCACTTAAGTACTTATGTGGGTTATCTCATGCAATGTATTAGTTCTATTGCCATCTGACGGCAGGAGCATCTAATACTGCAAATAAAGTGATGGAACTAGAATTCAAATTCAAGTAGTCTGACTTCAAAGACCATACTCTTAACAACAAAGGGACTGGATTCTTAAGTTCTTATGTTCACTCACTGATCAACTGATATCTGTTACATTATACGTTTTTTCAGAATAAAAAGGTAACACATATGCATTGTAGAAAATTTAGTATGTCCAGAATAATAACATCTATATTCCTTTTTTTCTCTTTTTTGAGTCAGTCTCACTCTGTCATTCAGGCTGGAGTGCAGTGGCATGCTCATGGCCACCGAAGCCTCGACTTGCTGGGCTCAGGCAATCCTTCCACCTCAGCCTTCCCAGTAGCTGGAACTACAGGCATGTGCCACCACGCCCGGCTAATTTTTTGATTTATTGTAGAGATGAGGTCTCACTAAGTTGCCCAGGCTGGTCTCAAATCTATGGACTCAGGCAATCCTCTCACCTCAGCCTCCCAAAGTGCTGGGATTATAGGCATGAGCACCAGGTCATAACATCTATATTCTAATCAGACAGAGATGACCACAGTCATCCTTTTGATATTTTTTTCATTCTTTTTCACATATTAGTATAGCTGACCTCATACTACATAAGCAATGTTAAATATTTAAAATGCTTTTTTTCATGTAGCTTCCTCAAGTCATTAAAAATTCTTTGTAAACATAATTTTAATGGTTTTAATCACATGTGCAATAATCTTTTTAATCATTCACTTAGTGTTGAATTTTAGACTTTTACCCATTAAAAAAAATATTGCCATAGTAAGTATCTTTACATAATAAATATTTGTGTTTTGGACCATTTCCTTATAATTTCCAAAAGTAAATTATTGAATTAGGTCATATGAACATTTATAAGGTTTTTGATATTATTTGACAAATAATCTTCCAAAATCTTTGACCTAATGTATGCTTTCAGCAGACTATACAAGTGTCCACTCTACTGTCACCAAAGTTTATTCAAATTTCAAACAAATTGGCTAATTAGATCCATGAGAAATAATGTCTCTTTTGTCTTCATGTTAGGGTTAATAAATTTGAACATTGGTAAAGTGTGTAGTAGGTATTTAAATGTCTTATTTTGAGGGCAAGGTATGGCAGCTCAAGTCTGTAATCCCAGCACTTTGATAGGCTCATTTGATAGGAGTATTGCTTGGGTCCAGGAGTTTGAGACCAACCTGGGCATGAAAGTGAGATCCCATCTTTACCAAAAAAAAAAAAAAATTAGCTTGCCATGGTGGCCCATGCCTGTAGTCCCAGTTACTCAGGAGGTTGAGGTAGGAGGATGGGTTGAGCCCAGGGGTTTGAAGCTGCAGACAGCTATGACTACATTTCAGTCTGGGTGACAGAGTGAGACCCAGTCTCTTAAAAAAAACCAAAACACTGTAAATTTCCTATTTTTTTAATTGACCATTCATATATATACTTTTTCCATTTATCTGTTTAAGATGTGTTTTACTTTTTTTTTTTTTGAGTTGGAGTCTCACTCTGTCGCCCAGCCTGGAGTGCAGTGGCTGCTCCCGGCCACCGCAGCCTCGACCTTCTGGGCTCTGGGGATCCTTCTACCTCAGCCTTCCAGGTAGCTGGAACTACAGGCGCACACTACCATACCCGGCTAATTTTTTGATTTATTGTAGAGATGAAGTCTCACCAAGTTGCCCAGGCGGGTCTCAAACGTACAGGCTCAGGCAATCCACTCACCTCAGCCTCCCAAGGCACGGGATTACAGGCTGAGCCACCGAGCCTGGCTGTGTTTTACTTTTCTATTTCTATTCTCTTTGTTCTCACAACGTCCTGTATAGATACTTTTGTCCCCAATATGCATTTGTATACATGAGTCTTTGTCTTTAGACTGTGGTTCTGTGAGGGGAGTGGCTCCATTTTATTTTATCTGTGAACAACACCTAATACACAGGAAAAATGTATACTATGCTTTGTAAAATTATTCTTAGGATTAAATGAGATATGTACGCAAAGGCATCTAATTCATTGTCTGCCACATAGCAGATGCTCAATAAGTTATTTTAGATGATCAAAAGTTTCTGTATTGAACTAAAACACAAAGTTCCATTTTGGAGTTTAGGAAAACCAAGAGTAGAGACTATCTTTGAAAGATCAGGAACTCGGGTTGTCAACTGCAGATTTACGATGTGAACCCTGATTCTCAAATCTTTCACTACAAATTACCTTTGACTGGAATACGCTTGAGAAATTAAAACTTTTGCAATTTTTGAAAGGTCAATATGTATGAATTTTGAGTCGTTAAATCCTCTTGGGAATTCTTTTTCCCCTAATCCTTAATGATACCCTGATCCCACACAGACGTTTCCTTCATTTTAAATTAATAACAGACGTGTGGTAAGAACAGCAAAGCTCAACAGACACAAACATACATCACGTGGGTGACAATTTCTTTCTCCATCAGAGAAGTTGGCTTTGTTTTTGGATAGAGGCGGCTATTCCCATAGCACGTTAGAGAAGCAGAACTTCAGCAGCAGGAAGGACGCTTCCGCCGGAGGGCGGTGGGGCCTGGGCTCGGGGCGGGGCCGGGGGGGGTCCTCACGACCCAACCGGGGGCTGCAGAGTCAGTTTGAGGTAGGTTTCGAGGATGCCAGCGACTGGGGGTGGCGGTCCCTTCGGGCAGGAGGATTAGCCCCGCACCGCCCGGGGAGGTCGCGGAGGACCAGAGAAGACGGATCTTGATACGGATTGCCCCCAGACCCCGGCGTCTAGCGGGAACCCGAGTTCCCCATCACCAAGAACCCTCCCAGACACTTCCGGTAAAAACCGGACATCCCCTGGTCTGAAGGCCCGGGCTCGAACGCAGGGCCCGGGATTGGCGGAGGCGGACCTCGATGGAAGGGCCTCCGATTGATGAGTCTGATCTGCGCTTGCGCCGGCGCCACCGCGGACAACCTCCTTTGCTCCGTGGCTCCGCTGGGGAACCTTCTCTGCGCCTGCGCCGTGGCTCCGCCGAGGAGGCTCCCTTGCGCCTGCGCTGTGGCTTCGCCGCTAAGTGCGCCGTAGCTCCGCCAGGGGCTGGGAAACCAGCCGGAGCCGGCGTCTCGTCCTCCCTCGTCCCGCCGGGGTCGTTCTTCACGCCTCAGCGCGGCGTCGCGTCAAGTCCCCGAGCTCTCCGCAGGGGCGTGGGGAGGTAAGCGCCTCGGACAGGCCGGCCCGGCCCCTCACCCTGTGCCCTCGAAAGGGGCCGCTCCGGTGGCCGCTGACCGGGACATCGGTCGGGCCCCCTCCTCTTCTAGGGACCAGGCCTGGCCCCGGCCGGCCCTTCTCCGAGCCCTGGAGCTGGCCT